CACAGGTTACAGGTATCTTATCCCAACCAATTGCGAGAGACAGTTAACCATAACACAGAGAGGATTTTCAAATTTTCCGTCGACACTAGGATTTGAACTCTGGACCTGCCACTTGGGGGTTGACAACCTGACCACTTCACTAGGTCACCACACCCATTAAAAATTAATTGTATATGATGTGCAATACATCTGATAGATAAAATGTAAGGAAATTTTGCTGCCATCATTGCTGATTCTGCAACAAAAACTACAGCAACAAATTTTTCAGGCCCAACTTTTTCTAGTATTTCTAATATTTTTTTAGTATTAAAATTTGCTATATGAGGATATATTGAAAAATTGTGCAATGAATAGACATATTGCTTCCTATTATCTGTCATTATTACAAATGCATATATGCTATGCTTTGTTGGACTACACCAACTATCTACACATAATGTAAGGTTTTCTGCTTTTAATAATTCTTTTTCTATTTTTAGTATAATGTTTACGCTTCTATATCCAGAATTGATAATGCTAATGAGGTTTGCTTAGGTGAATTATATCCATAATTCAATATTTTAATATAGTCTTCAAAATATGGACAATCAAATGCAGAAAATAAAATACCAGACCACACTATCCATTTAATTAGTGCTTTGTTTGCTCTGATTTCTTTAGCTTTATCGATGGCTTCTTTTGGATTGTAGTAAGCATCAAGAGATAATATGGAATTATTTGATTTTCTTTTTTTTAATGTGGATGTTCCAGATTGTACATGCTCATCCTTACTTTAAATGTCTCAGAGTATTTTATGTTGAACTTTTTTGGGTATTTTTTCTTTACATTTCAATGCTAGATGGGACTTTATGTCCTGAGCTCTTTCTTGAGCCCAAGATACAGAACAGTACCTACAACACGCCCTTTGTGCTTCCCTTTTCTACTGTCTATTACATCATACTCATTCCAAATATCTTCTTGAGGTCATTCCTCCTTATGTGATAACTTTATGAAGCTATTTAGTTCAGATTGTGTAGATTCTGTATCACTAAGTAAAACAGGGTTACTTGAAATTTTATTTATACTTGTTTCTTCATTGCTTTTTTTTTTTTTTTTTAAAAAATGCGAAATGGCGTACTTTATTTAATAAATTACAAATACATTATTATTAGACTAATTATTGCTATTTATTTATAGTTAG